GCCTCTTCTGTGACGCTGTTTAAATCCAGGCTCAAAACATTTCTGTTTAACTGTGCATATAACTGAAAGGTTTTCATTCCGCACTCTTCTCTCCAATTTATGTCTCTCTTTTTTAAAATTTTAATCTTCATGATTATTTATGTTTTGATTTGTTTTTATTATGATTTTAATGTATTTCTTATTCTGTAAAGCACTTTGAATTACTTTGTGTACGAATTGTGCTATACAAATAAACTTGCCTTGCCTTACTCAGACCGTGTTCCATAACAATTACACAACAGTGTAATGGCTGCCATCAATGAAAATCTGTGATATTTCACATTTTATTTTATCTGGACTTTTCATGTGTAAAAAGAAGTTTAAATCAAAGACGCACATACGCGATGAGAAATGCTGTAATATTAATCTGTTTTTAGTTCAAAATGGATTGATTTAAGTTCAGCTTTAGATGTTTCCATCTCACTCACTTGTTGAAGTATTGATGTAGTTCCTCCAAGCAGTACCACATACAGTAGAGATTATGCAACAGTCAACATCAGTGTCAAAGTTATGTGTTATTCTCAGAACTGTTCGATATTGTTGCATTTTTTTCAGTCAGAAGAGAACTGCAAATCACACAATCAATACTTTGTGTTCAAAACATTAATGTTGCAGTTTCAGATGGAAGGCAGCTGACAATAAAAGTCTAAACAAGATGCGCTGTTTTTAGAGAAATATCTGAAAATCCACAAATCTTGGACCTCATCATTATTGACTGAGTAGAAACTTGCCAAATAAAATGTTTTTTTCTTTGACAAGAAATCAGTTTATGAGAAAAATTTTTTTTGCTGACAGTCAAGACATCCACCTGGCCTGGACAGTGAAGAGTGATGCGGTGTCACATAGCCCCACATTTAACAGTCGATTCACTAATGCATAATGAAAAATACACAAACCATATAATACTTTATTTTGGGATTAGGGAAAGGTTTTCTTTAGAACTGAGGGAGGCTGGGGATTATAGAAGAAAAAGAAAAAAAGGAAAAAATGTTGGAAACCAGTGCCGTAGGTGAAACCCTTTCCCTCTGTGTGTGCCTTGGCCTATCTGTTCAGTTTTTGTAGCTCACATGTGGTGCAGCAAAATTTACAGTAGTACAACATCCATCCATTAGTGTCCCACATTGATTTAGTGACTGATTACAGGCTCGCTCCAAGAGTGCAGAGAGGCAGTGTAAATATGTTTTATGCACATGTGACCCCTGCTTTATGATAATTTGGAATCTTCACCACTTCATCTTGTTCTTGTTGACGGCCACTCAACTAATACACTGGCCAATATTGCGATTGATTAGGCTCACATGGTGCAGCACGTGCAGCCAATTTACTGTTCTGTTTATGGTTTGATAGTTGGTGTGTTACTGTTACTGTGTCCTGCAGGTCATTTTTGTCTTTTTTCTAAAATTGGCCTCAAAGTTCCAGTGATTTTTTCTGTATTTCAGGTAAATTACAGTTGAGGATTAAAAAATAAATATATAGTTATCTACAGTTTGATGAGGCAAAACACCTGCTTGCTGATACCGTTATTGTAAAAAGGACCAGATCAGCAGATGTGAGTGAACATGCTTTGTCTGTATATGCAAGGCAATGTCACTATGAGCTCTTTCTTTCACAAAAATGACAAAAGCTAATGCTATGAACCTGTGAATGGTCTCCAATGGCGACAGATACAAGCCCTGGAGATGTCAAGACTCCACAAAACAAACACACCTGTCTCCTTTCAGTATGCTCTATATATCCATGCAAAATGTCATTGTGTGTCCAGGGATTTATTCATTCATATACAGCAGAGAGACTATGAACATGTGGACAGGATCATAGTGAGTGTCATTTTAGATTTTGTGTTATTTTTAGCATGGAGCTTGAAAGATCACGTACAGTTACAGACTCATTTTCCATTCATGATTTGCTCAGTTATCATGCTTAGATTGCTGTGAAATAACCCAACCCAGCCATGCAACACAAAATATACATATTCAAATGGCATCTACATATATATGGTTTTTGTAGGCCTACTTATTGTATAGATTTACAGGATTGATTTCCATTTTTACATTTTATGCCAATTGTACATATGTAACTTGTAACTTTTCAGGAGAAGGGTCCACCACATGCTTTGCCTTATAAATAGGCCTAGTTAACAAGTCCATGACCAGTATTTGGACATTTCTGAAGTTATGCTAATGCCTTCTCTTTTAAGTGACAAATCATGATTAAACAGCGCTGATGTTTTAGTTGTGTTTATTGGCCGAGGGGCTGTGTTTGAAGGAGCGGTTAAATTAAAATGTCCACGATGTTTACACAAAATAAATACACAGAAGAGAAGTGTTGACCCACCTCTGCAATGACCTAGAATTTACAATATGTAGTGATCAACTGAATTTGTACTATTTCCGATATTTTGTTTGAAAATCTGTGAAGTCAATGATAATTCCTCTTTTTTGGATCAGTGGGCTACTGGCATCTATCTACACTATATCGAAGAAGTCACTGTCTTTTAAACATAACAACATTACATTTAAGATGTTACTAAAAATCTTGCCTATAGTCTTTTCTTTTCTGTAATTCTGGTGAAGTTTATATTTTTACTTCCTGGTTGGACACAGCCTGCAAATATAGAAGTATGTTACTAAGCAACCATCATGTTAACAAGAACCAAGTTATCAATATCCCAGTTACCAACTGGTAACTGGGATATTCTCCACCTTAAAAAAATGTCCCGCAACACAGCTCAAACTGTTAATGACCACTTTGAACAGAGAGGTTGCAGTGGATAAAAACAGCATAAACAATGTAAACACTTGATACATGTTAAATCTGATAATATTCTGTAATTTAATAAGTCACAAAGTAAAAAGAGCACCCAGATTTGAGCCAGGATCCTATTGACTTCCTACGTATTTGTGCTGATAGTAAAGGTGGTTTAAAGTATTGAATGCAATTAAATGTGCCAATTTCAGATGTGTTGGGCATGACCTACACTCAAATACTCACTGAGAGTGATTCCTCATTACTGACAGTGCTGCTCCCATTTACAGTTAACATTAGGTAACAGGTCATCAGTGCCACATATAAGGCCTGTGTTGACATTATGTGGCCATTATCTCTCTCCTGTCTGCTCCAGGTCGGCTCTGTCACACTGTTTGTCTGTGGCTTCTTCTTATCTTGTGTCTTTCTGATCACTTCCCCGTGTCAGTGATATAACCAAACCATGAACGCTTAGCTGACCATTCACCAACAAGCTGTCACCTCCTTCTCCCCGGAGCAGAGATAACAGCCTCCTGCATGGGATCACACTCCTTCACCATGAAAACATGACCCAAGGCCCCTTGCTGTGCACTCTCTCCAGATGCAGTGCACAGTTGGAATATTGAGAGGTGATGTAACATGGAAATAAATGCCTGAATTCTGTGGTGACCTGCAAAAATAAACCACTTCCCGTAAGTTATGTTTCAGATGTAAATAGAACTCTAAAAATAACAGCAGCTCGTGATAAAGACGGTGAGTTTAGATTTATTACCCATCATAATCATTAAACTACATTTAATTGATAAGGACATAAAACTGCAATCATACACTCCACTGCTTCTCAGAATCATTCAGCCCCTGGGAACCTTAGGCCTGGGTCATTTCAGCAATGAAGTGTTCTTTTCACGGAGGTCTGGCGACATCTTGTGGAGAAAAATTGAAACTGCAATTACCGGTGATTAAGATCCAGATAAATCACGTTGGGATTTAAAGTAAAATTAAATGTTTGCAGGTTTAACGATTGATACTTTGCAGTCACATCACGCTCGGGGGATTTTAGGTGTATCTCAGTGGTGGGATGTTAATCAGTTACCATGGTGACACAATGCATACACAGCTAAAAACTGTCAAGAAAAAAGGACAGAATGGATTTAAACAACCATTTTCAAGAGGCTGTGGTTAATATGAGCGTTTATTGTAAAGTTTAGGTAATGTGAGAGTGACTGAAAAATTGTTGTGTTGTTGGTTTTAAAGAGGCTAATAGATATTAAAGATTGGAATTGAAAAGTTCAAAGTTAAAGCAGCACTCACGTGACCTTTGCAAGAGTTTAGCTTTGACTTGAAGTAGGGTTTTGGGGCACCAGTCAACAAATGGCGAGAAATATTATCAATCCAATATAATCAATTATCTAAGTTTATTAATTAATAATTAATTAATTAAACAATTGTTCTGAAGGTTTGTAAATTCTTGTCCATATCAGTGACTCGTATCTGGAAATAACATCACAATTCACCAAAGCAAAATATGGTTTATGAATATTTATTATTAAGTTAAACAGACAGTATTTAGATATGAAATATGCAAATGAGTGTGGGCAGGGGTCTAGAGATTGAGGATTGGGTAAGAAAGAACTTTAAGTTTTAACTTCTCAGGTGTTGTCTCTTTGGAATATTTTTGTCTAGTAGAGAAGATTAGGAGCTGCTCTGTGTTTCCCTGTTTCTCTTTCTCCTTAAACAGGTGTTGAACTGCTTCTGCTGACGAACTGGGATCTCCTCAATGATAAGTCTGTATTCTTTTGTGCCCACCCATTTAAGTTTGTGTGGGGAGGGCTAAACCAGTGAGGTGAAGTCTTGGCTAAAGTTGAGTGGGGGATGAGTTGGATGTTCAGTGAAATTCCTCTCACATTTGTGTCACAAACCATTAAGAGTTTTACACAAATACAAGATATTCACATTACACCTACAGATCAATATTTAAACAACATTGACAATATTCACAGTATGAACAGTTTACACCATTCCTCTTCTTTCTCTGGAGAAAGAAGATCCAGTAGCAGTGTCTTTAATTTGTGTCTTGTATTTTATGTGGCCTTGGTTATAGCCAGTTTATCTGAATTTACTTTAGTCAATTTGGTTTCTTTGTAGGAGAAACTTTGTAGGTCTTGTAACTCTTTTGGAAGACTCTTTGTGTAAGAAAAGAATGTATTGCTTGCTCACAAGTCTCTATCAGTCTTTATTTAAGCGACAGGTCCAGGGTCCAGAAATAAAAACAGCATTCACATACTTTTGAATAAACACAAAAAATAAACCTTGAAAACATTTTACCCTTTAATTTATGGAGACATTAATTGTGTAAATGCATATTTTTACTCACCATTATAATCACAATGCTATTAAAGTAAAAAAATAAAAATAAAAATCTAGTCTTTCAAATAAATCATACTGAGATAATTCACTGTAAACAAACTGTACAGAAAAGAAAATCTGATTTGAGATCAATTGTTATTTTTTTTGTGGCTAAAATAATAAAAAAAAGACTCTGATACATGCTGTGTAGGCTCAAAAAGTACTCCAGAGGGCGCCATTCAATCAAAAACGTTTTGCTGAATGTTTGTTCTGTGGCATTACAGTAAAATCATACACATGTACCTTTTGTAGAAAAAAAAGTACCAAGAAGAAAAAAATAATAAAAAAGAATACAAAATGGACAATACAAAATACATTCAGTGGTTCAGAGTTTCTCAATAATAAATATAACTGAGAGCCCCACAAAAGTCCACCATGGCCCATGCGGTGCAGCTCTGGCCCTCAGGTATGACGGAGAGTGGATTAAAGCACTGGTCAAGTACTGGCCAGACCTCGCGCTCTTCAGTGAACAATTGTACAGTTTGTTTTGCTCGTGAGTCTTCAGGTAACTGTAGATTTTGACCATCCCATCATCGTCTGTATAATTGTTTACGATGAACTGGTCTGCGATCTTTGTGGAGTCTTGAAACCACTCCACGTGTCCTGTAGGGCACACCTGTTTGAATGTGCAGGTGGGAAAGTCTGAACTCCACACGGCTTCGACTCCCTCCCAATGTTCTGCGGAAAAAACACAAAACACAAACCTGAAACTTCACATTATTTTATTTCTTTGTAAATGCTAGACCTGTCATGATAATTACTACTTTGACTTATTGTTCAGTTTATGAAATCTGGAACAATATATCTTGGAGAGTTAGTATTAATCTTTTTTAACAGTATTGTAGATTTGTTTTTGTGGTTTAAAGATGCATTGTGTAACTTTCCTAGAGGAAGGTCCGCCAAATGCTTTTCTCTTTGGAGATTATTATTATTTTTTTAAATATTGCTTTGCCTGGAATGTTTTGCAGTATAGTATTAAACCTTTCTATCATCATGGAGACCAAACCAGGCCAAGTTACAGGTCAGATCTGTGGAGAGGCAACCCTGCTCACAGTCAGAATGAAGTTTTGTTTTTTTTGGTTTTTTTTGGCATTTTTGAACTACAAACCACCTGTAATTGAATAAATGTCAGGCAGAGCTGTTTAATGTCATAGTGTGGAACATTCCAGACATATCCTTAGAAACAAGTAGGTGATGGACTCCTAAACAAAAGTTGCATAGTGTACCTTTAAATCTGCTCCAACATACTTCAGCAATACATCACATTTCAAAATTTGTCATTGTGACAGGCCTAGTAAATGCTGTTTAAGAACAAACATGGAGTCTGACCTCTCGTCTCCACTCGTGTGTCCTTAGTCTCGACCCCTTGGTTGGTGCGAACTTTGCACAAAAAGTTTTCACTTTGTTCTGGCCGCCATTTAGGAAAGTGAAGAGACAAGTTCCCCTTTTCATAGTCACAACGGAAATTCCCTGATGAGTTTTGTTGTGATAAATTGCCCTTACTGTTCACAGAACAATATGTTTGCGGTTTGAACCACTCCATGTGTTTTATGGACAGCCCATTTCGTGAAGAAAGCACAGCGCAGTGTATGGTCACAGGTTTGCCACAGTCTGCTGTAATACTCCGACTGACCTCTAGTCTCAAAGTCTCTGTGAACATAAGAACGTGATAGAAGTGATAGAAGTGACAAACTGCATCTCTTAGTTTAAATTTAGGCCCTATATTACGCAAAATTGACTCTTGTACCAACATTCCAACATGGCTAAAAGCTCACATCATCAAAACCATATCTTGAGTTGTGTTTTTTTTTCATTCACACATGTTTGAGAAATACTTTATTATTAGCCTGTCCCCATCTACAAAGCTCAAGATGCTCTTTCCACCTTGTGATGTCACGGAGAGGTAGTTAAGTTAACAGCTACCTTTTACCCTCTCTACCCAGTCCCAAGTCAGAAATTATCCAAATGATTCTAGTGAAGGTGTATGGAGTTTAAAACACAGTGACGCACTTCCTGTATTACCACATGACATCACAAAGTGGAAGAGAGTGTTTTATTTTTGAGAGGGTTTGTGGTTTAAACATGTGTGAATGAAACAAAACACAACTCCAGGTCTATTTGTGATGAGGAAACAACATTAGAACATGGATCAGAAAATAACAATATGGGCCCTTTAAAGGTGCACTGTGTAACTTTAGTGGTGTAGGGTCTGCTAGCAGTTTGTGTCTACATTGGAGATGTTATATCTTTGGCCTGGAATATTCGACTACAGCAAGGGTCTCCAAACTTTTTTCTCCAGTGAGTTACTTGCACTAAAAGAAAATGCCAGAGAGCTGCTAATCATAAGAAATTGAGTATATATAAGAACCACGGCAAGCATTAGATGAGGTACAGTTTAATCCCTATAAAACATAAACCATTTTCCATTTATTAGTGCACAATTTTAGACATCAAAATGCAACATGTACAATGGTAAAAGGCATTTAATGAATCAGATTTTGCTTATTCAGCACAAAACGTGTGATTCAGAAATCCTTTGGCGACCTAATTGGAAGGGACTGGAGAGCTACCAGTACCTCCTGAGCTACAGATTAGAGACCCCTGTACTACAGTATGCCAACAAACTTATGTATCTCCATGGAGACATTACCAGGCCAAGTTACAAGTCAGATCTGTGAAGAGGTAACCCCAAGAACCCCAAAAATGCATGTTTTCAAGTCTTTTTTTCTTTCTATTAAAATACCTGTAATGACATAAATGCTAGACAGATATTTATCATGCTGGATAATAATGTGTAATATTCCAGAACTAAGCAATAACATCTCCATGGAGACAAGCAGGTGGCAGACCAGAAAAGTTACACAGTGCACCTTTAAATATATACGGTTGCACTTGAAGGCAAATTTGGAAAGGCAAACTTAAGAGGCCAAAAAGAGTCAGTACTCAATAAAAGCAGTTTGTTTTATTTGGCAGAGTCTATTGAACCAATTTATACAAGCTATGATTTCTTAAAGTTCTGAACTAGATTGTTATGGTTTTGTAATTTCAACATTTAAGTAATAGGAGAGAGTTTGTTTCAATACCTGAGAAAGTGAAGGTAACCAGCCATGGCAGTGTGCTCAGTATTGCATAGATCATCACTGTTGCTCAATTTTCATTCTGCGTCATAAAAAATCACAAAGAAAACAATAAGAACAGTTCGTATTGAAAATAAAGACTGATAATAGAGTAGTTTAAATACATACCTATGTCACGGTTGCTTGGTTTCTGTGGGCTACTCTGAGCTCCTGTTGCGTTAGTCCATGCTCTCCTTCCTGAAACTGTTAATAATTACAGATTTACAATATCAGTCAAGCTACAACTTGTTATCGTAAAAGGGTGTGGGAGGAATATTTGGTCTTGAGACTGAAAGAGAAAATAGAGAAAGAGATTTTGTGTGCATATGTGTGAGGGTGTGTGTGTGTGTGTGTGTGTGTGCCTGCGAGAGAGAGAAAGAGAGAGAGAGCGGAAGGAAGAGAGAGGAATGGAGACACAAGTGTCCACTTTGTGTGTGAGTCTTTGATGTGTTTCTGTAAAGCACTGGTCCATCTTGAGTCTGTATCAAACATGAGGTCATTGTGCCAGTCCTGGTGTTTTTTTTTTGTTTTTTTTTTTTGTGAATCAGATTATAGCTGCAGGGAAATACTTTTATTTGTCTTTTTATGGGTGCAAATATCTGCTTGCTCTTTCTGTAGAGTCAACTGCATTAAACTCATCTACTGAGGGAAATGTGATCATGCTATCCAAATAATCAAATTTAATGTTTTGCTAAAATTGTAGCAAAAATTGGTGCAGCATTTGTCAATTCAAGCACATTCTTCTAATTTAACTTTGTATGTTTTTATATTGTGAACATATATATTATAATAATATATAAATTAATAATAATATATTATATATTAAGCATACACTGGATAAAGAAGTGGACTAAGTGAGTGTGATGTCACCTGTAGGCACAGGTGGGACCAAGTCGTTGTTTTGCAAGTCTCAAGTAAGTCTCAAGTCTTTCACCTCAGGTCTGAGTCAAGTCCCAAGTCACAGACAAGTAAGTCCAAGTGGAGTCTTGAGTCACTGGCCCATAAGTCCAAGTCAAGTCCAAGTCGTCTGCTTTGAGCTTCAAGTCATTTCAAGTCTTTAAACCAAAGTACCAAATATATCTTAGATTTTTGCTATTTATATGAATTTAAAACTAAACTGTACTTAAAAAGGCAAACAATATTTAAATAAGAGTTGCAGAAATGCTATTTTTTCTATTTAAATGTCTTGACAAGATCTTAGTGTGAATCATTAATAGAAAGAATTCAGATTTAAGAGTGCTTAATATCAGTTATTTTTGTCATGTAGTTCTCTGTAGTTCCCTCTGTTTTACTGTATTGTACTGTAAATTACTGCATTGTACTGTATACTACTGTAGTACATTTTAGGATACCGCATCACAGTACTTTAGTTACATCCAAAGTAACAAACAGAAAAGTGGGAGTATCAACTGTAAAGAGAAAAGTATTTTTTAAAAAACATTTTTTGGGGAGAAGGGTCAAGTCTTCTCAAGTCACAGGGTTCAAGTCTGAATCAAGTCCCAAGTCACTGACCTTCAAGTCCAAGTCGAGTCCCAAGTTTTAGTCCATTTTGTCAAGCTAAGTCTCAAGTCCTAAAAATAGTAATCAAGTCTGACTAGAGTCAAAGTCATGACTTGCAATTCCCCAGCTCTGCCTGTGTAGAGTTCGGCTCCAGTCAAAAAAAGCTCAGGAGGCTAGCAGTTATAGGAGCAAATTTGGAGATGATTTCCATATTTGGAATTATTTACGGACAAAATAGTGAAAAAAAAAACAAAACACCAGCATTATGTAGAGTGTGTTAATAGGAAATTTTAAGACCAAAATGACAAGACTCACTGCAGCAGTTACAGAAAGAAGGGTGACAATTTTTCAGTATATAATCAGCTGGAGTTGTTGGAGCCAAAAGAGCCCCCATGAACACTTCCTATTTGGAACATGGCAGCTAGTGGGTTAGCTATACCCATTTGTAGTACTAATAGTAGTATTAGTGGTACTTGGTGTGAAAAATTTAAGAGCTACTGGACTAGAAGATTACAAGATGTTCTCCTCTACTTACCAACAGCCTGCTAGTAGTTATTGCACCAGTACTTATGAGCGCTGCTACTCTCCAGAGATGTCTGCTGTATAAATTAATCTAGGAGCGTTCTGACTGTAAGGAATAAACTCCAGCGCTCCCAGAGCAGCTCTCAGTGACAAACTAAACATAATATGAGCATATGGGTTGAATAACCATGAGTATATAGAGCTCCAATGAGTGCGAGGTAACTCAAGACAATATGCGAAGTTAATATAAGGACAGGATGTTAGTCTCTTGTGAGAGTCTGTGTAATAATATTGTGTTCTTTTTAATGAGCACTAATTTCAAACGGTCTACATTTTAATTAGAAGGATTTGTCTCATGTGAGCAAACTTTCTGGACCTGACAGCATAAATAAAATCTCCACTAATGTAGTACGCCACAGCAGCTATCAGTACAGTAGATTTTCAGTTTTAAATACGATGATATGATTTTATTATTTTATATAACAGTATATATGGTTTTATGGGGGTTTTATGGTTTTGTTTTCACAGCACCTCTACTCATATCAAGTGAGGTATGTGTTTGATTATAGTGTGTTTAGGGGAAAGTCTTACTGTGTAAAAGTCCATTGCATAACTTTTCTGGTGGAACGCCAGTCAAACGCTTTTCTCTCTGGAGGTGTTATTGCTTTGTCTGGAATGTTTCACAGTATTGCGTTAAACTTTTCTATTTTCATGGAGACCAAACCAGACCAAGTTACAGGTCAGATCTGTGAAGAGGCAACCCCACACACTGTCAGAATGCTTTTTCTAGGTGTTTTTGAGCTATAAAAACACATGTAATTGAATAAATGTAAGGTAGACCTAGAAACAGAGAGAGGACCCAAAATGCAGGACGGCTGTTAAAGTTCTTTAATAACAAACAAAGAAAGATCCAAAAATACATAAATCAAAAAATCTAAACTAAGGCTACGTTTATATGATGATGGTCTAAACTGAACAGAAAACTCAAAAGTGGTGTTGCGCCTTCGAGAGGAAATCTGTGTGCATACGCAAAAGTGTGTGGAATTCGTTTGAGTATGCATGCCAGATTTCTGTGTATCGTATGTATGTGGTGTAAATGCGTATGTGACATGAGCAGGTCTGACTAGAGTTTTGCATCTTGGGCAGTGTAGACGGAAACGCTACAGCGGAGCATATTCAACTTTTCCACTCTGGAGGACGGTTTCAGATTTTTGCGTTTTTAAGCCCCAAAAACGGCGCCACCACCTGAATGAAAAGCACTTCCGATAAACTATTTTGTTGTTTTTACCTGCAAGTGTTCTCGTGTAAACAGGCCCTAAACTGACATGACAAGACAAGACACTGACAATGAGTGGGTATACATGCACATCAGTATCCCGGTTATGATCGGGTTTTTTGAGTATCCCGGTTTCTTCATGGTGCAGTATACGCAGTACCCTGGTTTCAGTATCTCGGTTATGGCAGTATCCCGGTTATTAAAAAACGGGTTACTGTAGCTAGTATATTCTGATAGTATCCGGGATACTGTGGCATGTAAACGCAGTATCCCGGTTACTGCAACGTAAAGTTGAGTGCGCGTGCGTCCAAAAGACACTTTCCAGTCTTTTCACCATAACAGTAGCGACATAAATAAAGTGACCAACATAAATAAAGTGACCACACGAGTAAAATGACTGTAAAATAAAGAGCTGCATTAAACCTGCACACGTACAATCTGCACTCATATGACCTGCACTCGTGTGATCACTGAACTCTATCTCCTACGATATACGCACACTTACCATCATTAGCACCTCTTCTGTCACAAAAAGAACACACAATCCACTGAGTCGTGTCTTTTAGTCTGAAAGAAGCTCCTCAGCGGCACAAGGAGCAAGCTGTTTTTATCAGCCCTAACAGTTTATGCTAATTAGCCATGCGGCCTTAAAGGTTGTATGGAGGATTTTTTTTTTTGTTTCAAATTGTCAATGATAGCATTATAGAGATGCAGTAGCCTCGTAATTATGATGACCAAAAAAAAGAGAATAAAAATTCATCAACTCTGGACGTGGTGGGGCCAGCTAAACATTTGCCAATAGATAACGACACTGCCTCGTTATCTGTTAGCTGACAGGCTGTCAATCAAACTCCCTACGTTTCTAGCGTAACTGACTTGCCTGAGCGCTGCCATTACGTGGTTTAGGTACGCCTGTCACGCAGTCCACAGACGCACAGACGCTGTTTACTCCACCAACGCAACAGTTATAATAATAATAATAATAATACATTTTATTTATATTGCACTTTACATAAAATAATCTCAAAGTGCTACAGGTAAAAACAATGAGTAAAAAGGTGCATCAGAACAGTGGATCAAGCTAAAACCAGTGCAGGAATTTATAAGATAAAACAAGAATAAAATACAATTAACAAAAGGCTTTAGTAAAAAGGTATGTTTTAAGATTTTGTTTAAAAACAGAAATAGATTGTGGGGCTCTCAGGTGGTCGGGGAGAGCATTCCAAAGCCTTGGAGCAGCAGAGGAGAAGGCCCGATCTCCCATGGTGCAAAGTTTGGTTCTGGGGGTTTGGAGAGTGTTGGTGGCTGCAGAGCGGAGGGTGCGTGAGGGGGTCTGGGGAGTGAGGAGTTCCTTAAGGTACTGGGGGGAGTGACCGTGGATGCATTGGTGAGTGAGGAGGGAGACCTTGTACTCAATCCTGAGTGTGATCGGGAGCCAGTGAAGGGATTTCAGGATGGGGGTGATGTGGTCAAATTTTCGCACCCTCATCAGGATCCTGGCAGCGCAGTTCTGGATGTATTGCAGTCTCTGGATGCTCCTGCCAGGTATCCCGATGAGGAGTGCGTTACAGTAGTCCAGCCTGGAGGAGATAAAGGCGTGGACGAGCTTCTCTGCATCTGCCAAGGAGAGAGTTGGACGGAGTTTTGCAATGTTTCTGAGGTGGTAGAATGACGTCCTACAGAGGTGTTTGATGTGGGTGTCAAAGGTGAGTTGTGAGTCCATTTTGACACCCAGGTTGGTGACAGATGCAGAGAAGGGAATCGTTTGACCAGAAAATGAGATACTGGTGATGGTGGAAGAGCGGAGCTGATGAATTGTGCCAACCAGGATGGCTTCTGTTTTGGAACTATTGAGTTGAAGGAAATTTAGCTTCATCCACGCCTCTATCTCCTCCAGGCAAGTGGTCAGTGTGGATGATAGTAAGGGAGTGGAAGAAGTGGGGGTGGTCCGTAAATAGAGCTGTGTGTCATCTGCGTAGCAATGGTAGGATATACCATGCTTGGTGATGAGATTGCCCAGGGGGAGTAGGTAAAGAGTGAAGAGAGTGGGACCTAACACCGAACCCTGAGGAACACCACAGGTGACATTGTGGGTGCGTGACTTTGCCTTTCCTAGGGCAACGTGCTCGGTACGGTTAGTCAGGTAGGAGGTGAACCATTTGAGTGCTTGTTCTGAAAGTCCAATAGTGTATTGCAGGCGATGGAGGAGAATATTGTGGTCAACCGTATCAAAAGCAGCTGTAAGATCCAGGAGGATAAGTAAGGATGGTGAACCAGAGTCTGCTGCTCTCAGGAGATCATTGGTGACCCTGACCAAAGCTGTTTCAGTGCTATGGCCAGGGCGAAACCCAGACTGAAACTTGTCAAAAAGGTTATTGAGTTTGAGGTGATCCTGTAGTTGTGCTGCTACTGTTTTTTCCAGAACTTTAGACAGAAATGGGAGATTAGAGATTGGCCTGTAGTTGGACAGGACTTCTGGATCCAGGGTGGGTTTCTTCAGTAGTGGTCTGATGACAGCAGCTTTTAATGCAGATGGGATATAGCCGGTCTGGAGGGAGTGGTTAATGATGTTAGTGATGAGAGGAGAGATGAAAGAGATGTTGGTTTTCAGCAGGACTGTGGGGAAGGGGTCCAGGGCACAGGTGGATGGTCTCATTTTTCCAATGATACCCTCCACCTCTTCCTGTGAGATGGGAGAAAAGGAGCAGAGTGTCTGAGCAATCGCAGTTGGTGGGTCAACATGTGGGGGGGGCAGGATAGCAGTGGTAGAGAGGAGGAGTGAACGGATGCTATCAACCTTTTGTCTAAAAAAAGGTGATATGCATGTTACACCTGTCCTCAGTGGCCTCAGAGTGGGAAGGTGAAGGGGGTAAGAGAAGGTGATTTACAGTTGAGAAAAGTTTTTTGGAATTACCCGGGCTATTATTGATAATTGTGGAGTAGTACTGGGACCGTGTGGCCTTCAGTGCTTCAGCATATGCCTTCCTGTGCTCTCTGTAGGCTTGTTTGTGGACAGTCAGTCCAGAGGCCTTAAATCGCCGCTCAAGGACACGCCCAGCCGTCTTCATTCTGCGCAGCTCGCAGGTGTACCAAGGTGCTGAGCGTGAGAAAGAGACTGACCTAGATGTTAGGGGGGCGTGGAGGTCCAGAAGACTGCTCAGTGACTGGTTGTAAAAATCCACTGAGTCAGTAACAGAGGGGAAGTGGGTGGAAACAGAGGAGAGATGTTGTAGGTCCAGAGCCAGGGCATCAGCGTTGATATTCTTTAAATTACGAAAAAGAAACTGCCGCTTGGGTTTGGAGTGGGGGGAAGGAAAGGGTAGTTCCATGGATACGACCTTGTGATCAGAAACACCAAGGTCGTACACCTGAAGGTTACTGATAGGGGCGGAGTTTGAAATGACCAGGTCCAATGTGTGCCCCCGGGAGTGTGTGGGGACATCAACATGCTGCTGTAGGTTGAAGGTGTCCAATAGCTGAAGGAAATCTGCAGCAGGTTTGCATGAAGGGGAATCAACATGAATATTAATGTCTCCCAGAATAATAGTATTAGCAGAAGTGGTGCAGAGTGTTGAGAGAAGGTCAGCCATTTCCGGGATAAAAGCAGAGTTGGGTTTGGGGGGTCGGTAGATCAGGAGAACAGTCACTGGAAAGGGGGGCTTACATTTGAATGCAAGGCACTCACAGGATGATGTTGGAGACAGCGAGATGGAGGACAGCTCCAGGTCCTGTCGGTGGATGACCGCTAGACCACCACCTCGATGACCAGTGCTGCGAGCTACCTCCAGATAGGTGTAACCAGGGGGACAGGCCTCATTAAGGGCAGAGTAAACCTGTGACTGGTGCCAGGTTTCTGTAAGACACATGAAGTCCAATCCTTTCTCCCTGATGTGTTCTTCAATCAGGGAGGATTTATTGTTAATAGACTGTACATTGAAAAGTTCGAATTTAACCAGTGCCTGTGGGGTGAATCGTTGTACAGAACGCAGAACTTTGAAGTCCACTCCGCGCAGACTGGAATCCGCTCCTCGTCTTCTGTCCAGCCTAGTGAGCGAGGATCTCGCGGTGTTACTCGCACTGGAGTGCCGAGATCTCGCGGTGTTTCCCGTTTTGATGTCAGCAGATACGACGGTGCTCTGATGACATGTCAGACGTGCGACATGGGACCAGAGAGATGGGATGTTTGTCGCAGAGCCGGTTGTTTGGAGGTGGAAGATGAATTTTCGACCGGTGCCTCTATGGATGTAGCGAGGACGGCGAAGAAGTCCGAGTTTATTGAGGATGGAGGAAAGAGGTCCAGGGGGGGCTGCGGGCCTGAGTTGGCGAAGTTGAGAGATAGAATACCGGTAGCTAAACGCCATGCTTGACCAAAAAGGAGGCGGCCCGGCCTTGCCAACTGCCAATGCCAGCCGTAAAGCACTAAATCCAAGCAGACAGCCGGCAGCCGGAATGCCAATGGACCAACAAGAGAACTAACATTACAAGGTAATCGAAAATCGCGGGAAGAGAAGCGGCGAACAGCCAACGCCAGCGTCCTCTCCAACCCGGAACCCTTCTTCTTAGCGGCTTTACCTATATCTTCCTCGCAGTTAGCACAAAGTTTGTTGCAATGGCAGACAAGAATCTACGAGCAGTTAGCCGCAAAAGAAAGTCCGTTTTTGAGCGCTGAAAGCAGAAGACAAGGGGAAAAGCAGCGAAGCCAAACTAAGGTGATTCTTGGAGATTCATTCCAACGATGGTGTGACTCAAGCAGACGCAGGGTCTAAAGACTGACGCACTGGTCGCCAAATTACTTCTGGACAGGAAACTTCTGCTTATTATGAAAACGTACTTTATTTCCAAGAGCTAGACAAACGTTTTTCAGGACACGAATGCGATATCCTATGTCTGAAAACTTAATTTTCAATGCAAAGAAAGAGCCCGTTTGCCGCTGTGTGTTGTAGCTAGTTCATTCACACAGAATCTCCGCACACCCCTCTCTGCACCGCTCCTCTCTCCTCTCCTCTCTCCCCGCTCCGCTCTTCTCCCTGCTCCTCACTTCTTCTCCGCGCCGCGCATGAAATGTCCGCGCACCCCCTCCCCCCGCTCCTCACTTCTCCACCTTGCCTAACCAACACTGTAGTTAGTTGTGTACAAGTCATGTGCAGCGATGAGTACTTGTTTTCTAGAAACAAACCTGTTTCTGGCGTAAGGAGGAGGCGGGAGGAGGCGTTTCTACGTAGGGAGCTGTGGGCGAGGGGGGTGGTTTCACGCATGCGCAACATTTGAAAAACAACAAACAGTCGCTGGATTTCTCATTCCTTGGAAAATCCTCCATACAACCTTTAAGTTTTATTTCTGTAAAATGTAAACAATATAGTGGTTATGGTTTATATGTTGTAAAGTTGAGTTTATTTATGCAGAAGATTTTAATGAAGAATCTGTTGGGTTTGATCTGTGCAGTGGATTGTGGGATATCTCATAGCTCCTCACGCTGGTTAAGCCTCCCGAGCTTCTTATGCTAAAGGAGTTCACGGTTTGTATTTTTCCTGGTTTATTAAATTGATCTAAGTTAATTTTTGCGCTTACGCATTTGTAAGATTATGTCAAGAAACCGGGATACTCCATTTGATCATGTATACGCGGGTATGAGTATCCCGGTTTCTCAGTGCGCATGTATATGCAGTAACCCGAATACTGACATAACCGGGATATGGCTATTAACCGGGATACTGATGTGCATGTATACGCACTCAATGACAGTGACAATGACAATACAATGGACCAACAAAGGGCAGAGGTGTATAAGCACACAGATACAGGTGTAACACATTAGGGCGGAGCAAACAATCAACAGACAGGAAGTAAAACTCAAAACTAGAAGCAGACAAATGGACCAATGTCAAAAATAAAACATTAAGGGCACACAATCCTAAAGGAATAAGATACACCAAAATAAGCAAAAACAACGACAACAAAACATGAACCATGACAATATCCATGTCAATCAGGTGATGGACCCTTTAATATACTGTAGTCAATCTGTGACACATTAGGCTCACACTTAACATCCTCTGAAGTATAAAAAGTAAACAAATAGATAAAAGAACATCCAGATTACAACCTCATCCAGAGCCCAAACACACTTTACTGACACTAATGAAATATTAAGTGCATGCGACATTAAACTCCCTCAAACCCAAAGTACAGTCATGTCCAGCAGCTTATGAAGCTTATGTCCACATACCAGAGGAAGAAGATTACCATAATGCAGGATAAAGTTTATGTACCACACATGTATTTCAGCATCTGTCCAAATGGATGCTGCAAATTTTGCTGTGATGCCATATTTGGACTTTCACATAAACTGAGGGTCAAATTGTAAAACAGATTTAATAACTATTTGAGACTACAGCTCAGCAGATTAAATAACACCACCTACCTTTTTACAATCATAAAAATGTGTGATTCTCTGTCTCTCAGCGGAGTTATGTGCACATGGCTGCTTGTATAAAACGTCTCTTGGGTTTATTATATAGGTTCTGATCTAAGTAAGTAAGTATTTCCATTATCCACTCTTCTCCTCCTGCCCTTTGTTTTTGGTGTTTCAATGACTGTTTCAGATGTATCAGTGGCATAAGTGTAGAGCGTGCTGGAGCCATTAGCGGTGACTCTGTACAGCTATAAAATGGCAGGGTGCAATCAATGGAGCCACTGAGAGCCTTAGAATGAGAAGGACATTTGCAATTCATCACAAAGTTTTATTTTTTTCTTACGCTGTCAGTGAAAATGTTTACTTTCTCTGAGCCAACAATATTTTCTATACTCTACAAAACAGACTTGAAATAAACGATTGTACCTGCTGCCAGTGAGAACCACCACTTCATATCTGACTATCATGATTCTGTTACATTAAGGTGCACTGTGTAACTTTCTGGATGGAGGGTCTGACAACATGGAGATGTTGTTGCTTTTCCTGGAGTTTTTCACAGTATGATATTAAACTATTTCCATTAAGACAAGTACCAAACTAATTTACAGGTCCAGTTTGTGGAGAGGTGGGCCACTTACAGTAGCCTGATTCATCAGCCGGTTTCACTTCGTAGAAACCGTCTGACCTTTCAGCATTAGAATTCGTTTGTTCAATGGCAGGTGGATACTTTTTAATTTAACCAAATGCTGCTATTTGGTCATGACGTATGTAATGCGCCACTATCGGAGCTAACTGGTATATTAAGCTTTTCCCAAATTTTGTAGGAAGAAGGGCAATAACGTCTTTCCCCTTGATAAAATTCATCAAACATTTTCTTTGTTCTGGCATTAAATCCTCGATCTCAGGAATCATTGCCAACACAGAATGTGTGGCTCTTTGCTGACTGGCCGCTGCGTGGTCTACATTTTGCAGGGTTCTCGCAAACCATCTAGTGTATTCCGATTCCTGACCCAGTCGCTGGAGAGAAATGAAATTGAGTGGAAGCACTAGGTGGCACCAGGCTGACTAAGTTTACAGTACAGTGCATATTTTTCAGCAGATGCTAGTTTCTCTCACTTTCCTCTGTTAGATCTCTTCATCTTGGATAAGTGTTAAAGGAACTTCCTGGCTGACACTAACATAAAGCAGCACTAACATGGGATCAGCATCATACACACTGACAACTGAATCTAGTTTAAGTGGTGCTGTGGATGTTTTCAAACACACCATGGGTATAACTGACACAAATGGTCAATTTATGATGCACTTTAGGAGGTAAGACTCACAGCCAAGAGCAGCTTTCTGAGACTTAAAAGAGAGAGAAAGAGACACCGAGAAAGAGAGAGAGGTCTAAAAGTAACATTTCAAACATGGCCGCCTCACAGTGACACAGAGTTGTGATATGCGTGATTCATTACACACCATCTTTCATCAGTGACCTTTCAGTGAATGTGACAAATGTGACACGGACTAAGTGGACAGCAAAGGTTAATGAATCTCTGATACGCCGCGCTTCGCTTTTTGACATTAACATTTCTGCGTGTCATTTGTATTCATCAGCATTATTCCACACAAATAATATCTACAAATAACAGGTTGAGAAACAGGTCTGGTTTTCCACGGGTTTTAAAGGATTTGTGCCTGTTCACAAGTTTACAGTGGATATGAACTAAAATTATAAATATTTATTTTAATATTTACTGTATAAAAAATAGGTAATAATGAGGCAGTTCATGATTAGAGTGTACTCCACGGTTTCTTAAAAACCCTCCATGAATCACATTATTGAGTGTGCCACAACTTGCAATGATAGTATTCAAAATCAGCCCACATTTTAACTAGTCACACGGAGCAAAGCTAAATATGAAAAATAAACATGCCAGTTAAACCATCACATATATTTTATCTGTGCAGCTGTGGTTTATTAGAGCACCAGAATTCCTGATTGGATCAAAATGTTTTGAATTTGTAAACTGTAAGTAAAAATGTTTCAGTCATTTTTACTCCTGAACAAGGAAACTGCTGGTTTGAGTTTAGATCTGGCTGCCCCTGTGAGACAGGGCCAATGGTTTGTACATTTTGAAAATATGAATAAACCCACTGCCAAAACATGTGAATAATAGTACAAAACCATGACCAAACCAGACTGATTTTTCCATCTTAGATTTGAGTCTAACGTTCAAAGACTGTGAGAGTATCTGTGGCATATTCAGACTAATCTCTCTTCAGTCAATGGTTTAAACCCTGTCAGTTCTGAGGGCTAACCTGGAGCCTGTGTCTGAATATCTTTCCCTTTGGCTTGTTTCCCATTTGAGACTGCAGAAAGGATCATACAATAATGACTCCCAATGCCACATAGCTGTCACCATGTAATTTACCATACAACTTTCTCCTTTACTGTCAAGAGTCCATCCTCCACACACACTTTCTCAACCCTCTACAGCTCAAATCTTATCATATTACAAAAAAAATACCCCGAATCTCCCCACTTTTACAAAGAAATTGCACACAGAATAGATGTTGAGATCGAAAATATATTGTTCTAGTTTTCTTATACATAATGATAAGGTGATACAGCAATTATCATGACAGGTCTGACCATCCATGCGCAAAGAAGGCACTTTTTATTCATTACTATCCACTGATGCTTACCATGCAGCGCACTTAATTGAGCTGTAGTGCTTCACCTTGTGTGTACTGAAGGTCACTCATTATAAAACACGCAATATATACACATTATATACTCTCCACAAATCCCCTGTACCCATGCTAAACAAAACAGGCTAAGCTGCATTAAATTTGTTCTGTGAAAGTCCCACAGCACTCTGGTCTAATCCTTGCTTTTAAACTGCCCTTGACTCTGCTGGAGGCTGCTCCCTGGAGTTTGTTATTGTTAAAGTCTATATGGAA